ATAGCATCGTGTGAATATCTTCGTTCCTTCATGATGTGGTATACATGACATGAGAAAGTCCATATTGTCCCATAGATTCTCCCTCGGGAAAACTGTGAGCTGATGGGGGATATGTGACAAGGCCCAGCACTGTCGTGCGGCAGGGCAGGTGAATAGCAAATGGTTGATATATTCTTCTTCTCCGCCACATTGAGGACAACGTCGCTCCCGTTGCAGATGTCTATGCGCTAGCCTTTCGTTGACCGGCACTGCCCCCGAAAGGGGTTGCCATAAAAAATACCGCATTTTCGACGTTGTCTTCACTTTCCACGCCTTTTCTTTGAGAGGGTTAATCGAGGGTTGTTGGATAGTGAAACTTAACTCCTCGTCGAGAACCTGACAAGATAATTCTACCTACTAAACTAAAAAGTATAAAAAAATATAGTTACAGTATCTTGATATTTTTTTTTGGACCCACTAATGTAAAAAAGTTATATTTTTGTTAGATTATATAAATTTGCTCACTAGGCAAAAAAAAATTAATAATTAGGGATCTAACAAAAATTAATATATGTGGACTAATTGTATCCATTATATTTAGGTTAAATAGTTATATTTTTTATTATAGTTTTTTTTTTGTTATTCAACCCAATTTCCCTATTTACAATAAGCTTTTGTCAAAACCCAAAAACAAGTAATGGAGTGTGTTCGAAAAGTCGATGTTTTGGCTATAGACCTATTATTAGTTTTGATCGGTGCTGGTGGCTCCATTAGCGCCGGTGCTGGTCCTTTTGTTTTCGTCTTAGCTTTGATTTTGTCGGTTTGGGTTATATAGCCTTGAAAAGTGATTTTTCTTCCGATGATTTGTGGTGGTTAGGGTGTAGTTCGGGATTGTGGTGGTGGTTCGTGATGAAGGTTGATGCTCATCTATAGATTGGGGGTGACCTTGACTTTTACTCGCGAAAACCGATTTGGTGCTCCGATAGATCTCCCTCTAGATCTGGCTGTGTCTGCCAGATCTATGGATCTCTCCAGTTGTCGGTCGTCTCTCTTTTGTGAGATCTGTTTTTTCTTTTGTTGGTTCATGGGTCTTGACTTCTCGTGGTTTGGTTCCGTCTTTATCCACTTGGTGATAGTCTTCTCCGTTAGCTCGATAAGCCTAGTCGTAGTGTTTCCTTCGCCTTCTTGTTTGAGATGGCTT